TTCACTTCACTTCACTTCACTTCACTTCACTTCACTTCACTTCACTTAACCTAACTTCACTTCACTTACCTTTACTTAACTTTACTTAACTTCACTTAACTTCACTTAACTTCACTTAACCTAACTTCACTTCACTTCACTTCACTTCACTTCATTTCACTTAACATAACTTTACTTAACTTAACATAACTGTTATGACATAACATAACTTAACATAACTGACTTTTATTCGATTATTCTTTTAAAAAGTATTTAAGATTTTAAATGTCTTTGAAGGTAAAAATTCGGGTTTCATAAAGTGTATTTTTACGTTTCAACAAATAAAAACAAGTTCCAAGCTTTAGAATTTCTTTGTGACTCAATTCGATCAAGCAGTCGGAAATGGTGTTTTTCGCCGTTTTACCGGCTAAAAACGCGTTTAATGATACTTCCAATAGCAATTCAATGTTTTTGTATTGTTCTTAAGCTCCAATTCGGATTTTATTCGATAATTCATTTAAAAGGTTACTTAAATTTAAATGTCTTAGAAAAAATTCGGCTTTCTTAAAATGTAGTTTTACGTTTCAACAAGTAAAAACAAGATCCAAGCCTTAGAATTTCTTTGTGACACAATTCGATCAGAGCAGTCGGAAATGATGTTTTTCGCCGTTTTACCGTCTAAAAACGCGTTTAATGACACTGAAATGGCAATTCAATGTTTTGGTATTGTTCTTGAGCTCCAATTCGGATTTTATTCGATAATTCATTTAATAGGTTACTTAAATTTAAATGTGTTAGAAAAAATTCGGCTTTCTTGAAATGTAGTTTTACGTTTCACCAAGTAAAAACAAGATCCAAGCCTTAGAATTTCTTTGTGACAATTCGATCAGAGCAGTCGGAAATGGTGTTTTTCGCCGTTTTACTGTCTAAAAGCGCGTTTAATGACACAAATGGCAATTCAATTATTTTGTATTGTTCTTGAGCTCCAATTCGGATTTTATTCGGAAATTCATTTAAAAGGTTACTTAAATTTAAATGTCTTAGAAAAAAATTCTGCTCTCTTAAAATGTAGTTTTACGTTTCAATAAGAAAAAACAAGATCCAAGCCTTAGAATTTCTTTGTGACACAATTCGATCAGAGCAGTCGGAAATGGTGTTTTTCGCCGTTTTACCGTCTAAAAACGCGTTTAATGACACTGAAACGGCAATTCAATGTTTTTGTATTGTTCTTGTGATCCAATTCCAAAAATATTCGATAATTCATTTAAAAGGTTACTTAAATTTAAATGTTTTAGAAAAAAAATTCGGCTTTCTTAAAACGTAGTTTTACGTTTCAACAAGTAAAAACAAGATCCAAGCCTTAGAATTTCTATGTGACACAATTCGATCAGAACAGTCGGAACGGGTGTTTTTCGCCGTTTTACCGTCTAAAAACGCGTTTAATGACACTGAAAAGGCAATTCAATGTTTTTGTATTGTTCTTGAGCTCCAATTCGGATTTTATTCGATAATTCATTTAAAAGGTTACTTAAATTTAAATGTCTTAGAAAAAAATTCTGCTTTCTTGAAATGTAGTTTTACGTTTCAACAAGTAAAAGCAAGATCCAAACCTTAGAATTTCTTAGTTACACAATTCGATCAGAGCAGTCGGAAATGGTGTTTTTCGCGGTTTTACCGGCTAAAAACGCGTTTAATGATACTGAAATGACAATTCAATGTGTTTGTATTGTTCTTGGCCTGAAATTCGGATTTTATTCGATAAATAATTTAAAAGGTTACCCTAATTTAATGTCTTAGAAAAAAAATTCGGCTTCCTTAAAATGTAGTTTTACGTTTCAACAAGTAAAAACAAGATCCAAGCCTTAGAATTTCTTTATGATACAATTCGATCAGAGCAGTCGGAAATGGTGTTTTTTGCCGTTTTACCGTATGAAAACGCATTTAATGATACTGAAATGGCAATTCGAGGAGTGTTTAGTATGTTCTTGTTAAAATTTTCTTGGACTAGTAGAGTAAATTTCTTCAACGAGTAGTGTTTTATTAAACACAAAGGTCGGATCATCACGGTTAACTGTAAACGTTGGAATATATCAAATATTTGAAATATTTTCGGCTGTTCCCTACAACCCCATAAATTGACGATTTTATTATTGGTTGAAGTTGGTAGCAGACAACCAATTTATCACTAATATAGTTATAATCATTATTTAAAAAGTAGTTTAGCATTTTTCGAGCATAATGACGTGTTACATTAGAGTACTAATTGTAGTATCTTGTAGCATCTTTGATTGTTATGGGATTGCTAAAACGTTTGGGAAAAACTACACTATGTAATTCGTTTTAAGAAAATATTTAAAATAAATAAAACTGTCGAAGTTGCGACAAGGAAAACAAACTAGTATCTCCGTAATAAGGTATTGAAGAAGAAAGGATCAACTCTGATCAGGATCTTAACTTAATTGAACTAAACTGTACTTAGTTTAACTAAACTGAACTGAACTGAACTGAATTGAACTGAACTGAACTGAACTGAACTGAACTTCACTTAACTTCACTTAACTTCACTTAACTTCACTTAACGAACTGATCTTGTTTGGGAATTCTTCTGAACTGAACTTAACTTAACTTAACATAACTTAACTTAACTTAACTTACTTAACTTAACTTAACTTAAACTTAACTTAACTTAACTTAACTTAACTTAACTACTTAACTTAACTTAACTTAACTAACTTACTAACTTAACTTAACTTATACTTAACTTAACTAACTTAAAACTTAATAACTTAACTTAACTTAATTAATTAACTTAACTTACTTAACTTAACTATTAACTTAACTTAACTTAACTTAACAACTTAACTTAACTTAACTTAACTTAACTTAACTTAACTTAACTTAACCTTAACTTAACTAACTTAACTTAACTTAACTACTTAACTTAACTTAACTTTAACTTAACTAACTTAACTTAACTTAACTTAACTTAACTTAACTTAACTTAACTTTAACTTAACTTAACTTACTTAACTTAACTTAACTTAACTTAACTTAACTTAACTTAACTTAACTTAACTTAACTTAACTTAACTTAACTTAACTTAACTTAACTTACTTAACTTAACTTAACTTAACTTAACTTTAACTTAACTTAACTTAACTTAACTTAACTTAACTTAATTAACAGTATCTAACTTAACTTTAACTTAACTTAACTTAACTTAACTTAACTTAACTTAACTTAACTTAACTTAACTTAACTTAACTTAACTTAACTTAACTTAACTTAACTTAACTTAACTTAAACTATAACTTAACGTTAACTTAATTTAAACCTAACTTAACTACTCTACTAACTAACTTAATACTTAACTTAATTCAACTTAACTTAACTCTACTTCAAAACGTTAACTTGACTTAACTTAAGCTTAATATAGACTTCTTTCCTTGACAGGCCATTTATTCGATTATTCTTTGAAAAGTTTATTTAAGTTTTTTTAAAATTTAAAAAAACCATAAAAAATTCGGATTTCTTAAAGTGGTAATTTTACGTTTGCAAAAAATAAAATACACATATCGACGCCTTAGATTTTCTTTTGTGACATATGTTCAATGAGAACAGTCGGAAATGGGTGCCTTTTCGTTAGCGGCTGAAAACGCGTTTATAGATTTTCTATTGGCATCTCAATTGATCTTGAGATGCAATTCGGACTTTATTCGTTAATTCATTTATAAGGTTACTTAAATTTAATTGTCTTGGAGATACAAATTAGGCTTTCTTAAAGAGTAATTTTACGTTTCAACAAGTAAAAACAAGATACAAACTTAACTTAAGTTAACTTAAATTAAATTAACTTAACTTAACTAAACTTAACTTAAATTAACTTAACTTAACTTAACTTAATTAACTTAAATTAACTTAACTTAACTTAACTTAACTTAACATTAAAAGTTAATTATTTTCATTTGTATTCGAATAAAACGAAGACAAAGATTTATACACTAAAAAATTGTCCAGCCCGAATATATTTAAACAGGTATTATGCCTATGAAAAGTTAATTAGTTTTATAAGAATTCGAATTAAAAGAAGTCAGAGATTTATACACTTACATTTTTACCTGTCTAAGCCGAAATCTTTTTAAACATACTTATTAAAAGTAAATTATTCTTAATATAATTCGAATTTAAAGAAGACAAAGACCTATACACTAAAAACTTGTCTATGTTGGAATATATTTAAACAGATATTATGCCTATTAAAAGGTAGTTTAATTAGAATTCAAAAAAAAGAAGACAGAGACTTATACACTAAAAACCTGTCTAAGCCGGAATCTATTTAAACTGATATTATGCGTTTTAAAAGATAATTAGTCTTATTTGAATTCGAATTAAGACAAAGACATACACTCAAAACCTGTCTAAGCCGATATCTCTCTAAACACATATGCTTATTAAAAGTTATTAGTCTAATTAGAATTCGAATAAAAAGAAGACAAAGACATTAAGAGTTAAAAGTTAACTCTTAATAAACATATTATCTGTTTAGATTCCGGCTTAGAGAAGTTTTTAGTGTATAAGTCTTTGTCTTCTTTTAATTCGAATTATAATAAGAATAATTAACTTATAATTAGTATAATATATGTTTAGATAGATTCTTGCTTAGACATGTTTTTTGTGTAAATCTTTGTGTTCTTTAATTCGAATTCTAATAATACTAAGTATCTTTTAATAGGCATAATATCTGTTTAAATATATTCCGGCATAGACATGTTTTTAGTGTATGTCTTTGTCTTCTTTTAATTCGCATTATAATAAGAATAACTTTTAATAAGTATAATATATGTTTAGATAGATTCCGGCTTAGACAGGTTTTTAGTGTATGTCTGTCTTCTTTTAATTCGATTTCTAATAAGACTAATTAACTTTAAATAAGCTTAATATATGTGTAGATAGGTTTCGGCTTAGACAGTTTTTAAGTGTATAAGTCTCTGTCTTCTTCTAATTCGAATTCTAATAAGAATAATTAAATTTTAATAGGCATAATATCTGTTGAAATATATTCCCGTATAGACAGGTTTTTAGTGTATAAGTCTTTGTCTTCTTTTAATTAGAATTCTAATAAGACTAATCAATTTTTAACAAACATAATATCTGTTTTGATAGATTCCGTCTAAGACAGGTTTTTAGTGTATGTATTTGTCTTGTCATAATTAAAATTGTAAAATAAACTAATTATATTTTAATAAACATGGGGTTTTAAGTATAACACCACAAACACTATGATTGCCCCTGGGACTTTTTTATTGTCATAGGAAAAGCAAGCCGAACTGGAAATTGTAGTCGTTTAAAGTCAAACGGCTCATCAGTCAGAATCATTGGGATTTGCGGTATGAGGACGTCTTCTCCTTTATACTTTTCTTTCAGTATAGTTGCTAGTAATTGTTTAGTAATTTTTTTATCGGTAACGAAACGCCGTTGAAAGACGTGGTTGGTTGATATGTCGCGAGTTGGTTGATATTTTCGAGTTTAAAAATTCTGTTCGGTAGTTCACTACATCATCTTCCAAATCAACCGATTTATATATCCTCGATTCGCCTGTAATTTGTTCTTGAATTTTTAAATTTAATTCATTTACAGGTTTTTTGCAGCCAATATAGCTCTCTCGCTCAACCAATCATGGTTTCTGTTATTTTGAGAAACATCTGGAAACACTTTCAGAATAAATCATCTTTTGATCGAGTTAACTGACAAAAACTTTGAGGAAAGTTAACACTGCCAGTCAACATGTCTATAGGAAATTTCTATTACAAATGTCAATGAGTTGTTTAGAGAATATGTTTCCAGATTGGTCATTTTGCAACTCGACACGCATAATATCTTGCTTAAATGAAGTACTTTGACATTGTTTCCACAAATTGGAGAACTTAACGCATGCATTAGAGTTTCATTACTAGGTGTTGATCGTGAAATCAGTGAATGTTTGACGAAAATCTCCTGCCTAATAAAATTGCCCACCAAATGCATTATGATTGCTCCGTAGATCTTTTAAGGTTCTGTCTCAAAAGATTTTTATGTGCGTCGTGCATTAATCCAAATAATTAATTTACATTGCTGCAAGACCTTTGCCATTGCAGAGTTCTTCGAAATGTTGCAAGATCGGAGTTTCATTGCTTTGCATATTTAATGGCAATTTTAATTCTGAATGGGCTTGTTCGGCCACCTTCAAGCAAAGATGCTGCGATTCCCCGACGAAGCGAGTGCAAGTGCAATTTATTTTGCGAGCGAATCGTTGCTAATATTAATTAAATCAAAAAAACTTTCGTGTACACCAGGTGTATCTAAGAGAAGTAAATCCCTCAGTTTCATCATTTTTACTTTCATAAGAGTTTTAAATACATACTTCTGTTGTTCATTCAACAGTGGAAGATTTGTTTGAATTAATTCTTTCAGTGTTGAGCAGTATAGTTTCTTTCAGTGTTGAGATCATACAGTTTTTCTTGATTCAACTCTTGGTTAAAGCATCATGCATTGGACGATTGGGTGCGGCCAGGACTAATTGAATTAATAGTTTGTTTCATCAAGCCACATGTCCTTAATTGATATCAATGCTTCGTTGTAAATTTCTTGACTAAGTGATGATTATGATATTAATGATTAAGAAATTGAAGATTAGTGACACATCTTAACTTAGGTGACAGAAAAAAATAATTATGATTGTAAGTAGGCATACAATTTTCCCGAACTACATTTGTTGACCCAAATGAGGAATTTGAAAGCATTTGTTATATTGTTGGATATTTGTCGAAAATGTATGGAATCTGGTTCCTATTCCTGAAACCAATGAGTATAATGGCTCTGGTGGTGGTTCCAATGGTATCAATTTCACTTTACCATTTGCGCAACACAATCCATTAGCTACGTTTTTATATTTCAATGCCTTACATAATGAGCAAACCGAGTTCATAGAACCAATAACAACACATTGGTAGTTACTGTAGTCAATAGACACATCGTAACTGAAAGCAGCTTGATTCAAATAGCAATTATTAGTTAAATGTAGCGCTCGCGCTACACGCGTTTGTGATATCCGAATTCTTTCACGTTCATTTTGGTCGTCACGTTTTTGGGCAGCATTATTGGATCGGTAATTAGCTTGGTTTTGTAGCATTTGGGATTCTTGTACCTAAATTGCTTCGTCTAATAGGAGGCATATCTATATTATACATTATTTTGTTAATAGTTTCGGAAGCGACATTAAATTCTCCAACGAAGTATTCTGTGCTCCAACGCACACACGCTCCAACGCACACACATTGTTTTGATAGATATGATAGAATTTGAACTTTGTATAACGATAATAAAGTGCAAATTGACTCTTTGACGTTAGGAACAACAACAAAGAGTTTAAACATCAAAGAGTGCTTTATGCAATAGCTATAAAGCTCAAATTGACTCTACGTTTTAGTTAGAAAACGTTTGTATGGGAAAAAGAAAAGGGCTGTTATAAGGGTTTTCCGGCAATTATTCGAATTTTTCTCGACGTAAAAACCATCCTTGAACTTTAACGATTATTAGAATAAAGGAATTGGCCAAATTGGCACAGGCGTTGTTGAGTTATGCGCTTATTGCGTTTCATTATTATATTATAGATTTTGACGAAAGACAGATTAACGAAGAATAGTGTTCATCGCTTAGGTCTTAATCAAATAAAAGTCATGATTATTAAAAATTAAATACGGTAAAATAATAATAATTTCAGTTTAATAAATCAGTATTATCTAACTCATTCATTATATCAATAAAAATTAAACATTTACTATTCGTTGAAATTTAATTTACACTTTTCATCGATCTTTATAAATCACTTCCTTAATAATACCAATAGTTACAAATAATTAAACCAAGAACAAGAAAACCACAGCAACGAGGGCCCAGGTCTATTAGTATTTATGTAATATTCAAACTCAACTACTGATCTAATGACTTTTAAGTCAATTGACACCATTGTTGATAAAAAACAGATCGTTAATTTTACAATTGAATTTTTAAATGCTTTGGACTTACAAGGAATGCATCTTCGTCTCAAAATTGGTTCACCTGTCATTCTATTGCTTAATTTAAATCAACCAAAATTATGCAACGGTACACGATTAGTCATCAGAAGAATTACCGGAAACGTGCTTGAAGCAACGATATTGACTGGAAAGTTTAAAGGCGAAGTCGTCCTGTTACCTCCAACACCTATACCACCAGAATCTCCAATTCCTTTCAAAAGGCTACAATTTTCGATACGTTTGGCTTTTGC